CTCAAAACAGCCACTATCACTGCTCTGGTCAAGGTCACAAATGAATCCTGACCATGTGTGACCAGGGCTTCCTCTGCCTCCTCGTTCTCTCCGCCGCCTTTGACACGTGGACCACTCAATCCTCCTCCACCGCCTCTCCTCCCACCTCAACCTTCAAGGTTCTGTCCTGACTGGTTCAGGTCCTACCTTTCACACCCACTCCACTTCATCTCAGCAAATAGCTTCTCCTCCAACCCCCGCACCGTCTCGTGTGGTGTTCCTCAGGGCTCTGTCCTCAGTCCCCTCCTCTTCACCCTCTACATGCTCCCCCTTGGTGATGTCATCTGCAGCCATGGGGTAAATTTCCACATGTATGCGGATGACATCCAACTCTACGTTTCTGCCTCCACCCTCAACTCCAGGACTACTGGCGTCCTGACCGACTGCCTGACCGACATCAAGCTCCTGGAAGAGGGTCAACTTTCTCCAACTCAACGTCAGCAAGACCGAGGCCCACCTGATTGGCTCGTGCCAGCGCCTCTCTCAGGCGCTGGCAGCATCAGCCTCCACGGCTGCACACTCAACCTCACTTAGACAGTCAGGAACCTGGGTGTCCTGTTTGACCCTGAACTATCCTTTCTCCCCTACATCCGCGCCATGACCGGCACTGCCTACCACCACCTCCGCAACATTGCCAGACTCCGCCACTGCCTCACCCCTCAGGCTGCCGAAACCCTCACCCACGCATTCGTCACCTCAAGACTTGATTATGGGAACTCCCTCCTCGTCGGCTTTCCCAACTCTTCCCTTCACAAGCTGCAGATCATCCAAAACTCTGCAGCTCATGTACTTTCACACAACAGGCTCTGCGACCCCATCAGTCCCACCCTCACCCGAATCCATTGGCTCCCCATCCCTCAGACAATCGAGTTCAAGATCCTCGTCCTCACCTTTAAGGTCATCCATTGCCTTGCCCCCTCCTACCTCTCTGACCTGCTGACTCCCTATGAACCTCCTTGCTCCCTCCGTTCATCGGGCTCCAGCCTGCTCCATGTCTCCCGCCCGACCCACCCTACCATTGGTGGTTGGTCTTTCAGCCTCTCTGCCCCCACACTCTGGAGCTCCATCCCACGGTCACTTCACCTCACTTCCTCCCTTGCCTCCTTCAAGGCCAGTCTCAAGAACCTTCTCTTCGACAGTACCTTTGGTCTCCCTCCCACCTCTCTGCCTTCCCTCACCCTTCTCCCATGCTCTGGCCCCAAGACCTGATTGTTCAGCGCTTTAGGACATCATCCTGACGTGAAAGGCGTCTATAACATCTATAAATGTAATTTTGTTGTTGTTGTTGTTGTTGAAGTGAATTGACTGTATATTTGTGGGCGAAACCCAGCAGCCAATTGCGCACAGTAGTGTGCCACAAACAGTCATGGATTGAAGTGACCAATTTATTATTTGTTTTTTTCTCTTGAAGGATTATTATCAGGCGTGTTGGCTGCTTTCCAAAATTAGACCAAAATCTATGAATCAATATCAAATGTAGAAACAATGCAAGCTTAGATGTGGCAATTCTCAGGCATGATTGACCTATGTCAAAAATACATCATCTATAGTTTCAAACTTGTGGATTTTTGAGAATACTGTACAAGGGTAAAGAATTTTTTGATGTTGATATTCATCAATGGAGTCTTACCATGCCAGCCATCAGAACAGACAATCAACTTGTTTTAATTTTCAATATTTGTAAGTCCAGATTCAATTGCGTTAATCGCAATTTCCATTTTGCAAACATTAAAAGCTAAATAGTCTTTTTCTCTCCAGCCTTTTGCATACTTTCAGAGTTGGTAATTAGTCAGTTTTCAAATATTGTAAATTTGACCCAATATGTGGAAAAACAAAAATTTTTACACAATAATAAATAATTACCCTTTCAGTTAATATACTTTCACGTGGCCTTTCACGTCAGGTGGATGTCTCAAAGTGTTGAAATTGACATTGTGGATGCTCAGCAGAAGCGTCACCAAAGGTTTTTTTTTGCTTCCAAGCAAGTAAAGTGTAGAGTTTTACACTATTAGTATAATTAAAACTTATCACTGATGATTATTCCATTAACACACATGCAGGAAAACACCACAAAAGGCAAAAACACATTTAAAAATTTCTGATGAACAAGCATAATTACATAACTGATTCCCAAACCTCTCTCTTCATATAATTTCACTCCAATGCAAACTGTTTATAATTCATATCCAAACAACTACAACCTCTAATACAAAAGTGCAACCGAAGAATTCGACAAAAAGTGAGAACAGCAGCAGGGCTAGCAGGTGTCTGTTTTCAGGAGGATGAAAGCAAAGCTCTGTCCCAATTTAACAAAAGGATACATTTTAAAAACAGGCTGAAAAATTATAATGACAAGTGTACTGGTATTTCCAATCAGCTATCTTAAAGAAATGTGATATTCGCAAGGAATAAGTTTGCAGCAGCAGGCTTAACAGAATGACATATACAGGGATAAGAATTGTAGTGAAAAATTGTACATTATGGAGAAATTATTATTGTTCACTTGACAGAACATCCTCCCATCAAAATTTCTGGAGCAGATTCTGGTATTTGGAACAAAAACCTTTGCACAGATAAAAAGGTATAATCTCAAATTGAGTATCGGACAAGTTATGACTTTGCTTTGCAAGTATATAAATGAATAAAATCAATGCTCACGCAGCCTTTCATTCAAGAAGAAGCCAAGAATGCGTTCCAATAAAGTACATTGCAATGAACAAATCCCATCATGAAAAAATTCCTGCAGCGGTTTCCTAATAAATGAAAAAGTTACCATAATACATAAATCAACTCTGCTTTAACAACCATGAAATACATGGAGCTCAACCAATAATCACCTGTTCTTTACGACTAAAGTTTGAACACAAAACACTTTTCCTGGGTAGCAGATGTCAAACATTAATTTCTGAGCCATAAGTGAGTTGGATTGTTTGCATTTCTCATCCCTGCACCCTTTGTTAAGAAAAATCGAATTCTTCTTTTGTGAAACATTTTACTAGGCTATAACGATCCTCCAATTGACAAATGGGTACTTTTTATCAGTTAAATAAACTACTACCCAGAAACCAAAGCCAAAGAGTACAGTAATCAGATATCTGTTTCTGAATCAAGAATGTTGGAAACCAAGGATACAGCAGCACTTACACCTTGCGAAATAAGTCTCTCTGAATTAAATATTGTTAGCTGCACTTATCTACATTAAAGGATAGCCCAGCCAGGTGAAACAGAACGTGCTACACTCATTTATTCTTTGACTTCCACTTCAAAGAGAAACAGTAAGGAGACTTCAACTCATCATCAATTGTGAAAGTCAACATCATTTTACAAAGACAGTATGAATTTGGAGCTGTTTGGTGTATATATATATCCTTTTCAAGGTCACTGCAGAAATATTTTGTTTAGCTTTTTAATCTTTCAGACATCCACTTCTCTTGACATACCTTCATGGTGGCCAGGGAACTGAATCACAACAAACCCTGCTCACACAAATTCATATTCAAACAACAGAGACGGATACAAGCCACTCTGTTTTGTGAATTTAAGCTTGATAATGATCATTTTCTAAGTGCATTTGGACTTTGGTGCCTATCAACTCAGACGGACAATGTTTCAAATACCAGACAGCAGAAAGAATGCAGATTTCCTATAATCAGTGAGGTACAAAGTGCAGTTTTTAAAGGGCAACTCTCAGAATAAGGTTTTATCATAACCTTACCATAACATTTCCATACAAAGTGAATAATGTAGCCCTTCCATATGGTGGTGGTCAAGTTTTGGATGAAGCTAATTGCATTGTAACTCAAATCCAAACTCAACTCAAAGTTGCTTCCCATGCCCCATACTTCAGTACTTACTGAATAATAGCATATGACAAGGTGAGTTACTTGATGTTTAGTATATTGTTGAACTGAAAGGTCTGCATGATTCTCTTGGGCAAGGTTGGTTCATAACAACTTCTGTCATGAGAATTCGGAAGAGTGCAAAAAGATCCCTATTTTCTTAAGAGAACAGATTCTATTTCCGATTGAATCAGGCTGTTTGGTCTGTCTTCAGCAATACCTCGGAGACCTGACTGACTCAGGAACTGGATTACCAAGATGCCACAGAGGGTCGACTCAGTTCTGATGTTTCGTTTGAAGCCTGGCACCTTGGAGCCAACTTTGTCTGACTGAGACGTCTTTGACCTCCTTGCATACCACTGCCTCCCCCACCCTACCCCCACCTCCCTCCCACTCCGGGAGGAGAATAATAATAATCTTTACATTTGATATAGTGCCTTATCATGTTGTCTCAAAGCGCTTCGTGAAAAACACTGTAAAGTGAATTGACTGTAGATTTTGTGGGCAAAATAGTCACTATTTGGGCAAGGATAGTCACTATTTGATCATTTGACATCCAGTAGGTATAAGTTTCAGTCTTCGTGGGGGTGGGGGTCTGGGGGGATTCAACCAAAATCGCATTTCTGACCGTGATCCAGTGACTTCAGCTGAAATGTGCAAAGCTGGAATGTGCATATACTTTGATGTCAAGTGATTGGAAAATAGGTTTGAATGCGACTCCTTTTGTGTCCTAAAATACACATACATATATTAATTCACAGAGCACACATTCACGAACCACCTGCTAACATCCATAGGCTAAGACTTGAAAACAGCCATTTGTGTATGCTAGTGGAGCAAAGCCATACCTTAGAAGATGTCAAATGAGTCAACTCTTACTGGAGAGAGAGAATAAAAACTAGGTTGATTCCATCCCCCCAGAAAGTTGAATGACACAGTTTCAGAAATATTTACAAAAGAGTACATCAATGCTGGTGAGAAAGCAGGAACAGATGCTTTACAATCCTGCAGATAATAAATGAACTGTTTTTTTTGAGAATAACATGAAATGATGATGTCGACTGGTTTTCGAATTACCATTGCAGCCATAACTCATGTTCAAACATTAACACTTCAACTTACCATTCCGTGGCCACACTCAGTTCCATCAGCTAGTGGCATGTGTTGTGTTCGACAACCTCGATGCACTCCTTCTGCACTGGTGCACCACAATCGCTTGCATTGTTTCTGGGTAGAAAAACAGATGCAACAACTACAGTCAATTTTAACAAGATCATATTCCCTTACCTTTTAATCATTTCTTTTCAACAAAACATTTTCTTTAAACAAAAAATCTTGATGAACACGTATACAATATGTGTATCACGATTCGCCACCAGCTGTCGCTCGAACACTTCCGCACCTACCACCTCTCCCTTTCACAGGCCGAAACTGACTTTTACTCCAAAGTCATCCTGGAGGCAAACAATAGTCCAAAGATGTTGTTTTCTACCGTCCATCACCTCCTCCATCAACCCTCTCAAGCCCCCTCGATCCTCACATCAAACTATCAAACACCAAGTGCGACTAGGTCCTAGACTTCTTTACCTCAAAAACTGAAATCATCAGCTTGGCTGCATCGACACCCCACCTGGACCATCCACACCGCCTTCTCCCTCCGCCACGGCTCCTGCCACTCCCCCCTCCTTACACTCCTTTGCCCCCATTTCTCCCTCCTCCACCCCCTCCCCACCCAGCTGCTGGTCACTCAACTCCCCCTTCTCTCCCCCCTGCTGGTCGATACGGTCAACCAGTCTCTCTCCTCAGGCTCTGTTCCACTCACCCTGAAAACTGCTGTCATCACACCCCTCATCAATAAAAACCACCCTCTAATCTCTCACACTACCATCCCATTTCCAACCTACCCTTCCTTGCCAAAGTCCTGGAACGCATTGTTGCAGGTCAACTTCGGTCACTCCACTCCCTCCTCGAGCCCCTGCAGTCTGGTTTTCACCCTGCCCACAGCACAGAGACAGCGTTTGTCAAAGTCACAAACAACATTCTCTCTAACTGTGACCAGGGTTCCCTCTGCCTCCTCGTCCTCCTGGATCTCTCTACTGCTTTCGACCACACCGTCCTTATCCACCACCTCGCCTCTGTCATCTACCTTAGTGGGACCTCACTCGCATGGTTCGAGTCCTACTTAACCAACTGCCTCCATTTCATCTCGTCAAATGGTTTCACTCCCTCCCGCACCCAGTCACCAGTGGGGTACCCCAGGGCTCCATCCTTGGCCTTCTTCTTTTCCTTATCTATATGCCCCTCTGGACAATGTCATCCGCAGACACGGGGTAAACTTCCACATGAATGCGGATGACACACAAATCTACTTTACCTCCTCCAGTACCAACTCCAGGTCCGCTGATGTTCTATCAGTTTGTCTGGCAGACATCAAGGCTTGGATGAGTGTAAACTTCCTGCAGCTGAATATGGACAAGACAGAAGCCAAACTCCTTGGCTCCCATCAACATCTTCACTCTTGCAGATAGATCTAATCTCCTCAACCTCCCTCGGCTCTCCCTCAGATACCCTGCATGGAGGGCGCTACATAAGTACAAGTTGTTGTTGTAGTACAATAGATCTGAGAATCACATGGAGATAAACGATGGGTGGAGCATTCCAATACAAGAATTTCCATGAATATGTGGGATGCATGGAGCTCTCGGTTTGCTTTGGATATTCTTAAGCATGCATGGTGATGGTGATGGGTTTCCACATATATCAGACACCCGGCTGACTAAAAAAATATAAATGTAAACTGTATTGTTTAGACTGAGCAGGAAAAGACACACCACTTATTTTTNGAGATTATATTGCTTTCTAAGCACTTGATCATGATCATTATTGCACGTTATCTGGAAGATAAGTGACCATATGGATTAGAGGTGCACCTCAGCAACTATTTATTTCAATAGAAAAGGGTCTGCGCGTTTGTACACATATTGAAAATAGCATCAATATACAACAGCAACAACAACTTGCATTTATATAGTGCCCTCCATGCCAGGCGGCATCCCAGGGTCGAGCTAATCTGTACTATTCCAGGTACAGATAAATGCTTCATGCTAAGCTGTGGAGTCCTGTAGCTCAGTGGTTAGAGCACTTGCTTTGCAAGTGAGAGACCTGAGTTCAATTCCAGGCAGAGGGCGAAACCTTGGGCAAGTTTCCTTACTCCACACGCCTAATAATAATCCCTCCAAAAAACCCAAAACAATAATTAAATTGGTCATTTTCAATCTACGACTGTTTGTGGGACATTGCTGTGCGCAATTGGCTGCCGCGTTCGCCCACAAATATACAGCCAATTCACTTTACAGTGTGTTCTGTGAAGCGCTTTGGGACGTCCTCCTGACGTGAAAAGCGCTATATCAAATGCAAGGATTATTATTATTATTATTATTATTATTATAAGTTTGCAAACATATCTTTCTTTTATCTAATCCAAAAAGTTTTTTTTTTAAAGTGTGTAGAGGTATGGTTCACGGTGACCTCAGCTTCATCACATTCCAGGTTTTGATTTGGTTGAATGCATTAAATAAGTGTCTGCAGTTTTGGCCCCAATCCATATTTGTTCTTTCCGAGACTTAAACTGACCTAAAGCAAATGTTCTTTGTTGGTGGTCACAATAAGAAACTCGTGCAACAGCTTAATTATCAGTCAGGCAATCTGTTCAATAATCTTGTGGGTAAAAAATGGGACAAATTGTCTGCATTGGTTTTTTGATTGATCAATATGACTTCCTGCAAAAAAGTCACTGGGTTTTCCCATGAAAACCTTGAGCCGTTAACTCAGGATCTGAAAGCTTGTCTGTCACAGAAAGGAAGATGGAAGTTGCTGTTATTACAAGTGACAGAAACAGGATATAAGAATGTTTGTATCAGACATTATTTAAATAACATGTCAATAATTCAAATTAAAAATTCGAAGGACCAGCGCCTTGGGACGTCCTCCTGACGTGAAAGGCGCTTTATAAATGTAATCTTGTTGTTGTTGTTGTTTTTTGTGAATTTTGGGCTATATTCATAAACAGCCTGGAACAGCCATGCATTGTTGTATCCAACAACATCCCATGCAGACCAAGTACACAAGTAGGCACAATGAATTAGTGCACCAGTGGCAACACATCAGCTTGCTACCAATTCTGAATTTTCATTCTGTAAGAGGAAAAGGCCTGACAGCCCAGGTTACACAGAAAGATGGAGAACTTACATTTCTACCCATTCTACTGTCATTTCACATTTTAATTTTTAAAATGGATATTGGATAAATGGTTAGGAAAAGCATGAACAATATAAACTTACCATGTAGGGACAGACTTGTGATCCAGGACCAAACATGAGTTCACACTGTTTATTTACATCATAGATTTGACCAGGTAACTGGAGTGGAAGCTCATAGCTCCTTATTACAGGCTCATCAAGCAAGCATTCTCCATATCCAGTGCTGCAATTGCAAAGAAAAAAAAATCTATTAATTTTAGTTCTGCAGCTCCAGTGAATTCTCAGGCTAGTTACACTTCATTGTTATGCAATTTGGTCGGGGCAGGAAGAATGGCCCACATATCTCATGTTGTGTGCCTTTTAATTCAGTCCAGTCTTCAAGTGTGCCTGTACTCTGTGTGACTCAATGGTGTAGTGTAATAAATGTACTGCTTGGATTGTGCATGATGGTTGTACTTAAATTATGATTACTGGCTGATCCACCCTAAGCTGCATACCAAGTGTCAGAGAGCCACATGAGCCGAGCTAATAATTCATGTTGACATCTACCAGAAGCAAGAATCCTGCTGTGCAAACCAGTACAAATTAAAGCCATTGCAAGGGGTTGTTGGTAATTTGGTTTCCGAAAATTGAATTAATTTTTAGAAACAGCCCCCCACCGCCTCCACCCCACCAAATTTTTAAAATATCACCCTTCCCCATCTACAAAAAAAGTAAGAATTGTTTTATCAACACCTCAGACTATTCCTTAGACAAGACAGGAAGTTGGCAGCCAATACGTAGAATTTGTTGCAAGCTCAGCCTTGACTGAGATGCAATTTAATTGTGTTTCCCATTGAGATGAAATGCTGAAGATGAGGAAGTGAACAAGTTGGCAAATGTAACCACCCATTTGTGTTGCATGAATTACAGTGGAGCCTCACCTTATAACATGGCTAAGATAGTCGGTTTCATTTCACATTCCCTCAGGTGGCCAGTTTGCTTCCTGCTTACAAGCAGGATTCTGGGCTTAAAAGGAAGGCTGACTTCTAGGTGACAAGTTCTGTGCACAGTGCACAGAAAATTATGTCAGCAGCAACTTACCGACCTGAAAGTCAGCCATTACCAAATGAGTGCACCAGTGCAGGAAATATGCCGGCCAGTTTTGCACATGTGAAGTGTGTCAGCCTGGCCCAGTTAGCAGCATTCTTACCTCTGAGTCCCAATCCCACATTTGGGAACTCATATTGTCTGAGATGACACTCCACTGCAGTGCTGAGGAGGTGCTGCATTGTTGGAGGATAGTTCCTTAATATGAAATATTAAACCAGGGTCCTGTCTGCCTATTCAAGGTGGACATTAAAAAATGTTTGCTTGCATTTGATATAGCACCTTATCACATTGTTGACACATCTCAAAGGGCTTCACAGAATACACTGTAAAGTGAATTGACTGTATTTTATGGGGGAAAAGTAGCAGCCAATTGAGCACACAGGTCATGGATTGAGTGACCAATTTTTTTTGAGGGATTAATACCCCCGGAAAGCGATCCACTAATCGCCTAATAACCAGGTTCCTACTTACTGCTAGGGAAACAGAGGCATGTGGAGTAAGGAAACTTGCCTCAGGTTCCCTTTTCCAGGGCAACTTCCCTGCCCAAGAATCAAACCTGGGTCCTCTCACCTGCGAGGCGAGGGCTCTCACTAATATGCTATCAGGTTTAAAAATCCCATGGCACTATTTGAAAAGAGAAGAGAGTTTTTCCTGATATCCTGGCCAACAATCTCCCGAATAAAAAATGGTCATTCACTTCATGGCTGTTTGTGGGACACTGCTGTGTGCATCTTGGCTGCCAGGGTCGTCCACAAAATACACACAGCCACATCACTTTAAAGTATATCCTGTGAAGCCTTTGAGACGTCGCAATGACATGATAAGGCACTACATCAAATGCAAGAATTATTATTATTCGTGTACAAATGAACCAGGACTTTAGAGAAGCCTGTTGTCATGGGGCTGCATTGTATTACTCTCAGACTCTTACCCTCGTACTCTGATCTTTACAATGATTTTTGATCCCTCCACTCATTCTATACTCTCACCTCTATTTCTGAAGGGAACAGTTGATGCTTGGTACATTTCCACTGGCCTCAGCCACTGTTTGCTCACTTGCACGGCAGTTCTTTTTGCGTGAGCCCAGGCAGTGAGTGTTGTCAGGGTACCTGAGAGGCTTTACAGCACAGCTAGATCTATCCATGCACCCAATTTACATGTAAATGGATAACGATCAGGAATAGTAATCCTGTCTGATCTTTCTTCTCCCTCGAAGGGAGAGATCGGGGCTCAATCTACCCCTACCAGGTCCACTACCTTGGCTAAGATCAACTAACTCAATGCAGACCATTGAAATTTTCTGATTTGTATGGATCAATATCACATCATGCTGTGCATTCACCAAGTGAATCATCTAGGAATCCAATTCATAGATTTTTATCAATTGCCTAAAAATAACCAGCAATGTTCAGCTCTGAACTTCAACTTGAGGATTCTGACTCAAATGTTTATTAAGATGGAATGAAAATGTACCTGTTCACTTTTGTTGGCAGTTGGTACCCTGAAAATAGTGAGGGGAGGTGGTCTGGGTCCTTTTGGGGGTGAAAAGAATACACTCCCAGAAATACTCTGAACTCTGTATCATTGTTACTGGACAATCTTTCCTTGTGGCAATACCAAGTAAACTCAGGCAAGATGCCTGGGGTAGGCAACACAGTGATAGTTGACCACAGATAAGCCAATCCTGGAAAATGTCATATAATCCTAGCAGCCAGTCCACAAAGAGAAAAGCACAAAGATAGGCTGGTCAACTGCGAAACCACTTGGAGAATACAGCCTGAGAAGAAAGCTTAAAAAAACAGGATACAAACATAAAAGATGTGAAAAGTGGACAGAATGGTGGCACAAAGTTCAGGTGGATTGGCATCGAGCACCATAGTGGTGAAGATACAAGGAGATACAAGAAATATTCTTTAGAACGGGAAAGAAAAAAAAGGAATTTAATCCACCATCATTAATACTTTCTTTTTTGTTTTATAAAAAAAACTTTGTAGTGTTGTTCGATCTTCAATGGCTGCTGAATGAAGAAAGTCTGCTCTTCAGTGACTGAACTGTTCTGCAGGAATCGTGAGGCAATTTACCACAGAAAGAAAAGTAACGTTAAGTTGTAATCTTCAATAAGGCTAGTTTTTATAAGGAGTTCACAACCAACAGAGCTCGGGGAAAAAAAGATCAAAGGGTCAAGTCGGGAGAAATCTAATTATAAATGACATTTCCCATCTTGGAAAAAAAAGCTCTTTAGAGTAGCTCGTGGTTAGCCCTTGGCTTCATAGCAACCGTAAGCCACTGCTGTGGTTGCCTATGATACCCCTTTTCAGGAAAAATATGTAAAGCAACATTTTGCCAGGCCACAGTCATTTCTGCTTAGTGTGCACTCCACCTTGGAGCCCCTTGAAAGGTTATGCCAACGGCAACTGGATAAATATGGTGTGTATGCACTAGTCCATCCCACACATCACAGCAAAGCTTCACTAAACATTGGCTAAGTATTGGGCCATTCAATAGCAGGAGTCCCTATTCAGATGCTAATAACAACCCCAGCCAGAAATTGCAAATGCAGCACACAGAACAGCAAGCCTCCTCTCCAATAAAATCTAATTCCAGTTCTGAGAGTTTGAATGGGTCCACCTGATGCACTTCCAGTTACCAGCAGGAGTCATTATAAGCAAGTCCAGAAACAAATCATCACATATTAGATCCCATCAAAAACCACAATTTTTTTTAAAAAAATGTAATAAACCTACTCCAGAAATTCAGTGATGTACTTGCGACTGCATTTTGACCAGGTCCATGGACTGGTGTGGTAGTTTAAGGTCGGAGCCATAACATGGTACTGGTGCTTCACTCCAGCTTCCTTACATTTAAAACTATCATCATGAGGCATATTGAACCTGAAAATGAAACAATGGAGATAAATGGAGATAAACAACAAGTTTGATTTACTGCATCAACTTGAATATGCAAAGGTGGGTCAGCATTAGTAATATTTATTGCAATAAAATACGGTAAATTGAATTAATAGTATTTGACAGTACAAAAATAGGATAATTAAAAAACAATTGTAATGCTGCATGGTTTCATTTTTCATTCTAATTTATAAAAGCCTTGTCACAGTTTCTTTGAAAGTCCTATTGAAATATCACCTCTGAAATGTTTGTCAGTCCTCTTTCAAAAGATGACCAATTTACTGTGGTTTTCCAGAATTTGAGGTTTTGTTCTCAGGTTTCCAGCATTGGCAGTTTTTTCTTATCATCTCCACAAATCAGATGATCTCTTTTTTCTGATCATTTTTTTGTCAGGTTAAAGATAATCTCTTTCGGATGGGTTTTTCGACCTGGTGGCTTGGCGCAGGTACAGGTGACACAAGTGGCTTGGCGCGCAGGTGACCTGGTGCAGCATCTCCTTCATTTTGCTTACAAACAGTAGAGGAAGCAATGATTTGATCAATGAATTCATTTCATGAAGTTGGAGTGCGCCTGTGTAATTCAAGTTACAGGCTGATCGAGTGAGAGAATAAAAATAAATGGCTTATTGAAGGGGCAATCATCTTTTAATAACGGAGAAGTTGGTGCCAATTATTAACATTGGGAAAAGATGATTCCAGCTTCCAGCTTCTGCTGACAGGCCACCAGCCATCACAGTCTCCTGAAATAAAATGCTTGGTCTTCTGGGCACTGTATTTCCCCAAACCATATTTGGAGTCAGATCTTCCGTGGCTTCAAATGCAGGAGATACAACTTGATCATAAAAAAAAATGGTGTTGCTAGGAAACTTTTTTTGTGACAATGGTGGTGCCAGGAAACTTGTTTTGTGATGTCCACAACCCTAAGATTGGTAGCAGAATCATGAAAAAGATTGGGAATTAAGTTGTTTGACATTCAGGCATGCCTCCCGGCCTCCGCTGCCATGATTTTGGCAGCAAGTACCACAAAAATGAATTTCCAATGGCTTTGCCCGGATTGGATCAAGGACTGACATCATCTCAATAGTTATGGAAATGTCAAGAAGTTGGATAACCTAAAGCTAGCTATCCAATGAGACAAAAAGACTTCTCTTTATCAGTCAACCTTGTTGAACTTCCTTCGTTTCTGGCAATCACACCAACAAAGGAGGAGTGAGTGATGCAAGTGGCATTTTCTTTCGTTCTTTCTTTGTGTTTGTTGTTTCTTTACCACTATTATTGGGCTAACAAATGATTCCATTGTTCCCATTGTTGGAAAGCTCTCGTCAGAAAAGCCTGAAGGCTCGCTCACATTACGTACATGGTTTGTTGCATTTACACAACATGGCTTTCCCATTCTGCTGCCAACTGGGTTGTCATGTCAAATACAGAGTGCAAAAATAACAAACTATTTGCAAAGTAACCTTTCCGTATTGCGGTGGCGTTTGAACCTCATATGAAAAGAAAGTTCACATCTGTCAGTTTATCCAAAGGATACCATTCAAAAAAAATTCTTCAAAGCTCCATTTCCCCCGCAAATCAACATTTAATGGCATGTACATACTAAATGCAATAATACTAAAATAACATGATTCTGTATTATAATTACTTTTATTAATTTGTGGCGGAGATTATTGTATTGGATTTGCTAAACTAACTGCTCTTGGGAAAGGAACAACAAACTTTCAACTTTTTGCAAAATTGACTCAAATGAACAGGTAATGCTTTAAGATGTTATTATTGAACAAAATGAAACTTTAAATGAAATACCCCATATTGTGTAAGGATTACAATATCGTGAGTCCTGTGCAATTGAATTCCCGACCTGTTAACTGTTTTGCTGTTTTTAAGTCTTTGAAGATTGAAACACCATTTGCTCATTCAAAAATTAGCTTTTGCTTCAAGGAATATTCACAAAAATATTTAATAATAAATAAGAGAAAATATATAGCACCAGACAAAATGTTGGAATTCATACAATTTCTCCATGCTAAATACAAACTCATGGTTGTGTTACAATATCATTATTGGAGAAATACAGCTGTGTTCCAGCTGTAAAACAGAGCCATATATACCACAGTCCTTAGTTTGTTCCTTGGCCTGTGACAAGTTAGCTCATCTTAGCCAGGGTATTGGTTGGGATGTTAGAATTGACCTCAGTGTCCCCAGGGGAGAGATGGGGAACCACTCTAGGGTTCCCAATGCTGTCGCCATGCAGTGACCTCTACAAGGTGAGTGGGTGTGAATGTCAAGTAAGGATAGGATAAGACTTGGTCATGATGCCTCCTATTCCCAAGGGCACTCACTGTCCAGGCTCACTCATGTAGAATGGCTAGTTGAGATAATGCAAATAGAAAGCTGAGCCACTCACTGATTTCAGGATTGGAGGAACAAAGAGAAAAGTAAATCAGTATTGGATTTTTTGGGAAGGGGGCTTCGGAGCAAGTGACAATATACCTTCTAAACAAAGGATTTAAAGTGCCACAGAAGCAACAAAAATAAAACTGAAACTATTCTTATAGAGATAAAAATTGATCATATATATAGCTACTGTAAGAAATGAGCCCCAAAGTAGAGCTATTGTAATATAAAATCAGGTTCAAAACCATGAGTGCACACTTTCCAACACATTCCAGGTTGTGACATTTCCTTTATCAACAAGCACTCATCACCAACACCTAATAAGATGACAAAATAGTGTGCTTTATGCATACATAAAATGCAGATGAATCTTGGCAGAAAAAAACTTTACTCTGAAAAAAAGGAACCAACTTTCCTTGTTTGCAGGAAAATAAGATGGGTATCTGGTGAGTTTTTCAAACTTTTTAAGACATGGAATAAAAATCATTCAGAGATAAAGTTTATTTTTTTATAAGCAACTGCACATGTTGAACGAATATTTCCTTGCAGCAAGAAGAAACCACAGCTGTGATTAAATTACAAAAAAACTTGTATCCCACAAACACGCTGTGGTCTAGTCTTGTTTTAAACTCCCATTTTTAATAGTATTATTTTAAGTTACACCAGACTCCATCTATCATCTCTGCAATACAATTTTCATTGTGGAATTCCAGGGGCAGTAATGGAAAGAAAAAGAAGTTTACTTAGTTGCCTTTTGATTTTCTGGAATAATGTTACAATCGTACATGAATTCAACTACAAAACACATTGTCATTGCACTTTACAGTAAATTCTTTGCGACATACTCCTGACGTGAAAGGCGAGATATAAGGGTTTTTATATTACATAATTACTATATTGTTTCAATTGACTAACTGAGCAATAATGCTGGGATTGAGATCTAAAAGTCTTCAATAAAGATAAAAATACACTGGACATGTATGTTTGTGGAACAGTTCTAGGTCTATAGGTGCTATATAGATCATGACCCGCTTTGTGGAAAGGTCTGCAAATGAATCAAGACCAAATGCCAAAAAGTTGAGCTTTTTAGCACAAATTCTATTGTAAAATATATGAATGCAATTTCTACCTCTCACTCACACAGGTATACGCAAAATCTGCAAGAATAGTGCACGCAAGTAAACTGAAAATTGGATTTCCCTTCCAAAAATAAATGTTTAACTCTAAATTTAATATGTACTAAAAAATAGAACCACAGGAATGCCTTGGAACCAGAATGCATTGCATGAAGGGAAGCGTTCTCTGCCCCCTGGTGGTGACAATGTGCAACATTGCAAGCAGCAGTTCATAAAAATATACTTACATTCTTCAGAGCAGTTTGAAAAAAATTGAGTCAATCGTTTAAAAAATTCAAAATAGGGCAGAGATGACTTTGCTTTTTAAAAAAAAGGGCACATTAAAATCTTTGGCCTCTTCCTGAAATGTGATTGAAATCAAAAAACGTACATTTTGCAGCTCCCAATTTCTCATGCTAAGGTAAAAATCACCCACTCACCAATTGAAATGTAATGCATTTATGGCAATTCCGTGGATTTTTTAGGCAAACATTTTTTCCTTACAATTGAAATGTTAATACGTTGTGTGGGTTGTGTATACCACCATTGTGTAGAACAAGAAGTGATAATGCAACACAATTTCAATATATCAAATCTTAGAGGACCAGAGAATTGTATACCACAAACACTCGCATACAATGTACACTTTCACAAAGGGCATTCTTCAAGAGCAGAGAAGGATATACCCGGAAAGAATCAGAGCAAAGTAGAGACATTTCACTGAATAAGCTGCTCACTGAAAAGGCTCAAGGAAACAGAAAACTCAAACTAGTAGTTTTGCCAATGTTGAAGAAGAACAGTTGAATTAGTGTAGAAGGTTCCTAAACTTTAAAAATGAAAGTCCTATTTAAAATATAAGGCAGGGCAATAAATAATGGATTGGGGACGACGTTTAAATGCTCATGATTTTTCATTTGTTGAATTCCAACATGAACCATGCCACACTGAGACGTGGAATGGAAGGGAGGTGTTCTCCCACAAAAAGGAAAAGGAATAATAAATCAGAAGACAAATTGCATGAGATTGCTCTTGCCAGAAGAGAATTACACAAAATCAGCAAAAGTCTGGGACCAAGTCATGTGCCGAAGCCTTGTAGATGAGTGCATAACAACTACATAAATAGGGGATAAGAGGGTTACATTTGAATTTCACTACCTTTACAAAGACAAAGTTATTTGGCATGATGCACATGGATAACTCTTCTATTGAAACCAAACTGGCAATTTGTAATCACCCAGTAATTCTCTTGCAATAATTAGTAAACTTCTTGGTTATGCTAGGTTGTACACTTTGATGTATTTAAACATTTTGAAGGTTTAATAAATGGGACAAAGCCTGAAAGAATAAAGTTTAAAGTACTGAATTCTTTATGCTAAGTTCTTTAATCGAAGGCAAATTTTCTGGTTTAACCAGTTTTCAAAGCCATAATTACATCACATTACATCTGAAGAAAAAAATAACAGACAAACTCAACAAGTTAAACATCAAAGATCAGTCAGTTCCAGACATATAATTTAGCAGGTGCGTGTGTAAGAGCAAAGGAGCAAAATGTACACAGGGCTCCGCAATGACAAGCTGAGTAATGTTGTTAGTCAAATCATAATATCACATCATACACCCAAATTGGTCAGATTATGTTTTAGTTGCAAACTCCACTGTGTCATCAGTGAGCATTACCTTCTGCTGAGATAGTGTATCATGGCCAGTAAAATACTTACACATGCCCAAGTTCATGTGCTATAGTGAAAGCAGCACTTAGACCGTTCTCTTCACTAATGGAGCAACTGCGATATGGATCGCACATTGTACCAAGCTCTGCTAATCCTGAAAAAAAAAGGGAGCATATAGTTTACACTCAGTGACAGCCAACTAAAGATTAAATACAAAAATATCCCACGTAGAGACGGGCAAAAAACCTTGTCCTTTAATGTGCAGATGTTGGCTGCTTTTGGACACCTTCTGTCATGCCCGAGTCCCCAGAAAGAAATTCACTTAAAATGGTTGAAAGAGTGGAACTAGAATGGCAGCACAAGTGTGCGACAAAGAAATGTAAAGCAGAAAAGGGACTTTCCTTTAGAAAAAATAATGTCCCACAACTTGCTTCATCTTTCTCTTCACACATTAGCAGTTCTCTCCAATACTATTCTTAAACATAATAATAATATTCCTTGCATTTGATATAGCGCCTTATCACGTCGTCAAGATTTCTCAAATCACTTTTTGAAAAAAAACATTTGAGAGAAGGCCTATAAGAACAGTTTGCAGTCGGATGCACCTGGCTCCAACTTTCAATCATTCCATAGCACAGGATGTCTGACATACTGAGCAATATCCCAAGGTTGAAATATGTTCCTTCATTGGTTCCGAAATGCATAAATTAACACAGTGAAAATTATAGGCTCATTTACCCCACTTTCTGGGCAACGGAAAATTGACTGGCCCAGCTTCAAACAAACATACAGTGACAAGCCTAAACTGGATCTGCTGCTCATGCCATTGAGAATTCAAAATCTTTGCCACTTGTCACATAAAAATATACGCAAGACTGTAAAAGAATATATATGTCTCAGATAACGTAGTAAAGCAAGGATTCCTTGCTGTAAAAAGTATAATGGCATAATTTTCTTCCTTTTTCCTGAAGATGGGGGAGCATTTTGAAGCGAGGAGTCTCTATAGACATTCCTACTCATTTAAGAATATACGTCCCGAGCTTTGTTAATTTTGCAGTTTTTATCAGTTCTACATAAGTAGTACACTTCTGTACAACAGGCTGCAAAGGCATGCAGCTTTCTACTGAAGCTGGACATACGCATTAGTCTTACGTCTTGAACATTAAATTGCAACATCTACTAAACACCCAAAGTTTTAAGCAAAATGCGGTTTGTCCTATATTCAGAAGAAAAGAACAAACAAGGTCAAATAATTCACATGTAAAACAGTCAAGGTGATTATTCCTAGGAATTACTTTGTTCCAATTTTATAAACATGATTTTTGTACAGTGAACCTACCCTGCATAGTAGTTGGTCCGTTTCACTTACCGAGTGTATCACACTTGTTTCTAGCTCTACAAATGTCTTCCCTAAAATCAAACAAATTAAACTAGATAAGAATTTTAAGAAAAAATGAAATTCTAATCAGTAACACAAACTTTCAGTGCCTGTATGTTTATCTAATCTTCAGCAGTCAGGTGGAGTATAACTGTTACATTTCTAGTTAGCCCTTGGTTCGGTGAAGGGGAAGAGTGGTGAAATACTTCAAAGCCCTGGTGTTCCATTGAGAGCGAATTAGCTACACATTCAAATAAGGAGCATTTTACAAGACCAATCCCCCCACCATCAACCGCAGTTACTGCTGTGTTCAAAGTGAACTGTCTGTGGATCCTGTGAAAAATGCAGAATTTATCAGAGTGGAGCCCTGGTGCTGAAATCACCAATGAGGAGGTGGTCCAGAGGCACAGTTATTCTCACTACTGCATCAACACAGCGAATGCAAATTGGTACTGATTCCATTCATAACTAGTTTACCAAAGAGTCCTGGAGAACCTTTAGCCATTGTAACAAGCTTGACTTTCTGTTCCATATCACTTTATAGCCATAAGTTATATTGATTTACTTCTATGGGTACAAATAGGCCTAAGAAGTTATATTACAGGAATTTAAGGACAGAAGGACGTAATTCGACCCCTTGTACCTAAATTGTAGTTGCTCCCCACGAGAAACTGTCTGCTCTAATCCCATTTCCTGCCGTTTCATCATTCTCTTTTATATCTTTATACAGTACGTTTGTCTAATTCTTTTAAATGTTGCAGTCGAATAGCTACATGCAGTAATGTGCTCCACACCCTAATAACTCTTTGTGCCAGAGAAAAAAATCACCCAACCTCCCCCTTTATGCCTTGATGATCTTGAACTTGTTCCCCTTGTTGTTAATTCAGCAAGCATTGGAAATCTTTTATTTCCCCTGTCAAGCCCTTTCATAATTTCAAAGACTATTATTTGATCCCCCCTCTTAACTTTCTCTGCTCCAGTAAATGCAACCCTAGTTGTTAAGCCTTTGTTTATAACCATATCCTCTTATCCTTGTCTTATCCAAGTGAATCTATACTGCACCCGCTCCATGTCTTTGATATCCTTTTTATAATAGAACATCCAAAAAAGTACATAATACTTCAGCTGTAGCCTAATCGGTGTCCTGTTGAAATTCATCACCTCACTTTGGTATTCAATGCTCCTATTAATACAAAAATAAGAAATAGGAGTAGGACTAGGCCATTCAGCCCCTCGAGCCTGCCCCGCCATTTAATAAGATCATGGCTGATCTTCTAACCTAATTCCATTTACCCGTCCTATCCCCATATCCCTTAATCCGTTTAGTTTTTAAAAATGAATATTAAGGCTTTTAAAATCCTAATATTCCTTTTATATTTCTCTTTATATTTTTCGACCTGTAATCACACTTTCAAAGATCTGTAAATCTGTACACCAGATTCCCCAGTCCCTCCACTTCTCAGAGAATTTTACTTTATAAGGATATATTTGCATTTCAGGTTCCTTTTTCTAAAATACTCTTTACACATTCACTTGAACTTCATTTGTCACATATCTGTCCAACTTCTATCCTGCCTGTGCTCTCCTGTATTCTGCAGTATTCTTCTTCACACTTTTCCATGCTCCTGACTTCATTTAAGATCAGATTATTCATCAACTTCTATTGAAATCTATTAGATTCCAATTGCAACATTCATCAAAGATTTAAACTTCATGTTCATATTATTATTATTATTTGTTTTTTCTCAATTAATTGCAAGAGTCAAGGCGGGGTAAGACATGTATCGTTCCATGGCTCTGCAGGTAGTCGTGGTAAGCTTACATCCTACATCAGCCAGTCAAAATAAGGCTTTATTTTACTTTATTTTATCCCCTTTTCTCGTCAGTACTACTTCAGTATTGAAAACTGGGACTGAATGCACAGTATTTACTCAGTGTTTACCTAGTTATGAGAACTGCTGTGTCATGATGCAATGCGTGAGCATCATCCAAGACGTTCTGGGTTTGCTGCCACACGCAGAAGTTGTGGAGAGTTGTAGCTGCATTAAATGTGATGCTTGGTCCTTCCTGAAAGGGTGCAGAATGCAAGACATAGATGAAGCAAAGTACACCACGCCCTGCAAGGTACTAGGCAAAGCCAAAAACAAAACTATCCAGAGATATTCTACTTCTGAGCATGATCCCAATCAATTGAAACAAAGACACATGTAATGTGAGTTTCAAATCTCAGTTGGTTGAAGGAGAACTTTGGAACTGAACCAAATCTATACTGTGATCCACTCCTTAACTGGAGGAGATAATTACATAGGTTAAATGTTTCAACTTCAGTGTACAGTCTGATCAACATACACAGCATATTCATGCTCAGTGATGAGTCACAACATTTGATTTTCTAATCACTGTCAGCTATGCTTGTACAGGCTCTTTACATCCAATTGCAACCAGGTTTCCTGGACCGACTCGAATTTTCAATTCACTCTTTGAGCTGTAGTGTTGTTCTGTGATGTTCTATCCACATAGTACAGTGATATTTAACAAAACTTTTGTTTCAGTTAGTACTTCTGCTGCAATGACTAATTACTTTTAAGCATTTTCCTCTCTCCGTGCCCAAATTAATCTCTGAGCACTTCTTTGAGAGTATTAACACCACAGACCAGGAGAGGGGATGATCCAGGTGTTTGAAATGTTTCTATAATACTTATAACCAAGAGTTTTTCTTCACCTCCAGGTTTCAGGTTGCCACTGACAGAGTCAAAAGCCAACTTTTTGTCACTCTGCTTCAATGAAAACTAAAGCACAGAATACAATACAAAATTACATTTGTATAGTGTCTTTCACATCGGGAGAACATCCCAAGAGGCTGGACAGTCAGGGATTTGAATGCATTTTAATTCAATAAATTCTGTGATAGTTTGGGGATTTTGATTAAGATTTCTGTAATTGTAAAATAGCATCTCAACACGGGAGTTTATAACTGCTAGAAGTGCAGAGCAGTCATACCAAAACAGTGTCTGGTACAACATGGAATGTACTGTTCACACTGCTCTCTACTATTGTGAAACCACGCAAAAATGCATCCCAAAACATCCTTCATTGAAATACTTTTTTTTGGCACAGCTCCCAAAGACTGCCTCACTGAGGTCACATTTTCAAGCATTGCATTTCCAAATTTTACAATGTTGATGGCAAATATTAACGTTTTGATTAAATAAATGATACTACAAAATAAAAGCAATAATGTTAAGCAAAGACAAATATTTGCTTTCGCACAATGTCTGCAATATGGAGTATGAAAAATCAAAGGAACAGTGCGATGACTTCCTCAGAACATTGCTATGTTCTTGGACTAAAATATGGATCTCACACAGTCAGACAAGAGTGACAATTTCAATTTTTATTTCCCTCTCTGTACATTAACAGTTCTAAGAACATAACAAGACTTAGAACTTAACAAAACTACAACTTAGAACTTAAGTTAAGTTCTACGTTTTGGGAATAGTTTCTATTTGGTATGAGTTCACAGAACAAAACTGGAATTTAACAGAATATAGCACCAATTTAGGAATCTCAACTGAACTCAAATGTTCCAATATAAAGTGCTATCTTGGTTTTATTTGTGAAGGGTTATATTTGGGAGATGCTAGACAAGAGGTACACAATCTGGAATTGATGCTTGGTTGAGAGGATGGAATCCACAATGGAGGCTTTAAGAAAGGTGTATCTTAATTTTCTCATTTGATTTTTCAGTTGTTCAGGTACCACTATATAAGGAATTATTTAATCCAGATAAGAGACTGAGGAGGCACTGGAACTAATTGGATTTACCTGTTCATTGTGGATCACAACTAACTTTACAACAACGATGTTGATCAGATTTCCCACACTGGGATCTCGATAGATTGCAGCCACCTAAAATAAACACATATAAAGTAAGAAACATTGCAAGTAAGAGAAGCATTTTAATTCAAAGGTTTCTGGGCATGATAATTCATTTTCAAAGGGCAAGGATATAATACTGAGTTTCTAAACGATCAAAGGAATTGTGTACGACTTGTGAATAGTCCATAACAGCACTTGTCTGGTCCCAAAGGAAATAGAAATATAATATATTAGGGGAAAAAAAATCACACATCATCTCTAATATCATTCAACTAATTTCTGTGCCAAACAGTTATCTAAATTGCTTCATCCCTAGCACTGATCTGGTTAATATTGGTGATTCTTGTACACTTGCTAGAATCTTTGTGAGTACAGCTCACCATTGTAGTGACCAACTCCTTCCGTTCATGACATTTCTGACCCTGGAGCTGAAATAGTGACTTCTAGAAATTTGACTTCTCAGCTCAGATACAACAGTTGTGAGATATAGACCTTGGAAACAACACAAATGTGGCAGCTGGAAATAAATTGATTCTGTAGTTACTGAAACACAACTGCATAGTTTAAGTGCTTGAAAAATAATCCAGTATTCAATGAGTTAAAATAAGTGTCATTCTAATGCGCTGCTAAACAATTTCCGTAAATCATTGATTCTGCCAAGTGGAATAATGAGGCTGGGCCACTGAAAACTGCAGCAGTATATATTAGACAAGAAGTAAATTAAGTGTATTTACTTAAAATAGGATTGGGAAGTACCTACAATGAGCAAGAAGATTGTCCTTTCACCTTCGGGACCTGGGTTCAAATTCTGCTCAGACAGATTAGATACAAGTCTTCTCGCCAACAGTTGTTAAGGGATCATGGTGAAACAAATTTAGACAGTCTGAATCTATTTCCCACTGGACAGCTCACAGAACACAATATATCAGAGCTTGGTACTTAGGCAATCTTATTCAGAGAGACCAGACAGATGACACAGTGTGGCTCATAAAATAGTCACAGTGTAACTCAAGTTCTGTAATTCTGAAAAAAAAGTCATTCATCCAAAATAGTTCAATAACAACTTGCATTTATATAGGATCTCTCACGCAGGGTAAAGTCCAGGGGCGCTCGACAGTGGCGGAGCACAACTCCATATTCTACTATTAAAATCATATTTCAGTTTTCAGTTACACAATTTACAAGCCACAAACAAAATGCTGAAGCGTGAACTTATTGTAAATGTTTAACCCTAATTTACTGCATCTCCTTGCGCAGCGGAACAGGAGTATTTATGCCTTAAGATTTACACAATAACTGGAAGTATTCTGTGAATCATTTCTCATTTGTTCTCGAACAGGTTGTGTAACCACTCATCCTAGATGGAAAGAATTCTATAAGCTTTGCTTGCTTGAGGTAAGCTATAGTCAAGGAGAATGAAATTCTGCAGTAAAGTCAGTAAAGTTTTTGACTTTGCCAGCATTTGTGTGTAAAGTGGCAATACTCCACAATAAACTCAGTTCACCAAGGTCAGTAATTTTGCCAACCAAAAGAAATATGTGCCTTAGGTATGCAAATTTCTACTTCAGAGATGACCACAAGTATATGAACACCTCAGTTTGAAAGGGGAAGGGTTTGGTCTATTGAACCATTGGCAAAGGCATCTCCTTTTTGACCCTTTACTTCCCCAAGAAGACTTGTCAGTTTCCTCAATGTGATAGGTATAGACCCATATGTTCCCTTACATTAAACCTCAATTCAAACTTGCCTTTCATTTTCAACAGAACCCATCTGTCCATTAGCCTATTACAAGGCTATAAACTCAATGGATACAAATCTTTGCTTAATGAAAGCACAGCTGCCTATGCTGAGGATATCCTGGTTTCAAATAACTTACGGGTCAGCAGGTAACCACTGAATCCACTTCCTGCACATTGCGGATACGTACATTTTCCGCAGGAAGGGTTACTGACTATGCACAAGAAGCACCACTAACGCACTTACTGTGCAAAGTACGCATAAATTAGGTGACATCAGCAGTGTTTCTTGCACAAAGGGCAGTACAAAAGGAGTGTCACTTGTGATGCTTCTTATGTATTATAAAGTACGTCCTAAATGGATGTACCTTATAATAAGGACATACACCTACACTATTAGAAGATACATAATATACCAAGACACATTTTAATAGGATTGCATTGCATATTAAATTTTAAATGGGGTTCAGAAAGAACAATATTTTCGGATTCTCCGTGGATGCAGAACAAGACGATGCAGTTTCAGGACAATTTCAGCTAAGACACCAGGTTGTATTTCTTTACACAGAGAATAATTAATGACTGGAACCGCTTCCCACGAAGGATAATTTACACAGAACTAGACTTGATTAAGATACAGTTTCATGCTGTAATGGGAGGAAAGTAGGTTGTGTGGTCTGGAAGAATGTGTTCAAATGGGTCAACGGCTCTACAACAGCTAAGACTCTCTTATGGTCTGGCTTCTGAAATTGTTGGTCAGGGGGGTTTTCTACATTGTTTGGAAAATACTGAAAATAAAAGTATATTTACTGATTTCTAACATTCTTGAAATTCTACTGTTAAGCAATAAGAAAGCTACAGAAAAACAGCAGTTTCCTCAGTATGTAGACTGATTAAAAGGGCAGGCAGAAGCAGTCAATTGTCTTGAAAGAAACAGTCTGTGTATCAAAAAGTGCAAAGGAGATTGAGTACCTCTTGGCTTAAAGTGTTGCCATGCACCTGCCACTACACCAGCAAAAATGTCAGTAATTCAACAAAAGCGTTTTCCAATTAGAACTGGCTTTTGAAAGAATCGGGTATGATTTATACTGATAAGAGGTGAATAACATGCTGAATGCAGAGTTCATGACAAACTAATTAAAAACAACGCATTATAAGAATTCTTTTGAAGGGTGCGTTTGTGGGAGGGGAGGGGGAAAGAGAACAGATCCATTTAATCTCTGACAAATGAATTGTGTTGTATTATTCAATCAGCAGGCACTTACACAGTTCCTTTGACGTAAGATGAATGTCTTGAAGCTCTTCAATAAAATATCAGGGGATATATTGCTGTGATGGATGTGACCAATATTTCCTAAAAGTTATTACTGTACTCACTGAGATAAATAAAAATAAATTCTTTCATTAGATCACAATGTCCAAAACACATTTCAATTGCTTCTTTTTCACTGACAAACTTCATAACAATTAGCAAACCTTTCAGTTCTTTACTTGAAGACTTTTGAAAATAATACTGATTATAATAGTACTCCAAACCATACAGCATTCAAACAATGCTTTGCTGAGGTCAAGTGTTAAAAGCACACTCTACCAAGGGTCATAAAACCTATGAAAAAGCATAATGTTCCCCTCTCAAAGTACAACAAAGAGAATCGTTATTTTCACTGCTAGCTTGATTGTTGAAATTGACTACATTTGTAAATGGTTTATAGTGCTGGAAGCAACACCACGTTACTCCCAACCATTACTGGGAGCAATTTGGAGCAGGAAGCTGGATTTATCGTTAGTTTCCCGCTCTTGCCTGAGACTAAGGATAGTTCTGCATACTTTCAAACAAAATGTATGCCTGAAGGTCCATGAACTCATTTTAGTTTTTTATCTTAATGAATTTTCTTTTGTTGTTTTGATACATGCAAAGAAAACATCACTACTCTTAAGAATATCAAAACCAAAATAAGAGTTCCATTTTGTATTCCACCTACACATGCGAATTTCCCTGCGATTGGAATGCATACTCTCTCCTTGAAGGACAGTCCCTGCTTACCTAATCTGGATAGTGTGAGGCATAGGTCGGAGAGAAGCAATGCTTGGAGAACCCAGAGTGCATGTTAGGGGTTTAACCTTCTGAAACTTTTGCCATTGAGTGCACTGTCTGGCAAGCTCCTTGCTGCTTGTCCAGCTAGGGCCACTCTACCTGTGAGGGCTTTGACTTGCAGGGAGAACATGAGTTGAGTGGGTAACATCCCTGCCTCAAGTGATCAGTTTACCCCTCCAAATACTGCAGACGAGCCAAGTTGCCTGATATGTCATGAGTAATGCCCTGGACCCACTCCAGACCAACCTGGCTCAATTCTGACAATCTGTTGCAGAGCATGTTTCCTTGGAGCCAGTTTAGCAGGTACCAGGAACTCCCTGTGCACTTCCTTGTGAACAGCACAGCTCAAAATGCTTGAGAGCACCTCAATCATGCCCACGGTTTACACACACATACCCACTGATTGATGGAGGTGTGGAGCTGCTTAATTCTATGTAAATCAATGTGTCCTGATCAACAATCCCAAGTAAAGTCGGTAATTTGCTTCATGGCTGTTTGTGGGACAATGATGCAGGCTCCATAACATTTGTTCTGCATTTGTAAATGAATGAGGAGAAAATGTGTTCAACAGTTTTTCATGAAAACCGTGCATTCTTGAATAACCATGATTGTTTGATCATTTACAATCGATTACCAAGAAATCACAGTCTGTTAAGTTATGTGTTTGACAAAAATAAACGTTTCTGTGATGCACAGCTCATTGCAACATTGTTTTTGCTTGGCTCTCGAACACAGGGTTACATAAAGAGTTTACTTTGCAGAATACTGGACATGTTAAACAACTGGCAAGTTATAAAACTGTTTGCGTGGAGTAATACAACAGCCCTTTTAAAAAATAAACAAATACCTGTAAAATGGATTCCAAAAGATGTTTTGTATTTGAATCCTAATTTTTGGCTGAAATGTGTCCACGGTGGCATGCTGCACATCAATGGGAGGAAATGTCCCCAGAAATACTTATCACAGAGGAACAATATGGAGCATTATAGACTGAGATCACAGAGACGTTGAAAGCCTAGATCATAACACTTACTGATGCATTCTACTTTTGGAGTGCAAGTTCCTGCAGGTTCCTACACTTCCTGCGGTTTCGTGTGATGTACGTTTTGGTCCCCACTTTTTTTAGTCAGTCATGTATGTGACCCATTCAGAAACCCACACCATGCTTAAACATGTAAACCAAACTACTGAGAGCACCACAGATGTATAGTTTCCATTTGTTTGGTATGGAGTATTCACTATGCACTCCTTCCAGAGAATTTAGGTGGAGGTTGTCAAAAGTTCTGGTTGTGGGGGCCAAGAATATACAACCGGATTTTAATCAGATGAAACAGCACAGCCCATTAGACTTTGGCATGTAAGATTATCAGGAACTGAGTGGCAAGAATCTCTGTCCTGAATGACTGATACGCTTCTCCATGTCAATGAGTCAGCCCTGGCTGGTCGATCATTCACAGTGCACAAGAAAACTCCAGACATGCTTTACTCCTAGATCCTACTCCTATATTGGATCAACTCAATTCTGATCTTCCATTATAAGGCATGACACCTTGAAGTCCAGTCAGAAACTTCACTTACTTCCCCTCACAACGGTCATCATTGGTCATTCCTTAATTAAGATATCCTGTTTGAAACTGTTCTGCTTAGATCTTATTTATAATTTATCTCACACCATCTTTTGGAGAGAAGAAAAATCTGAATCACAACTATATTTCTGGTTAGGCTTACACAGACTGCTGTATGTATTGAATCAAAAACAATATATGGCCTCAAAGTTAAAGACTTTTCAAAGGTTATTTTACCAGCTTGTTGCCCTGAAGCTAAATCTTGGTTGTCACTCTACTGACAGCAACTAATTACCAGACTATAAACATGGGCTTGTCACACCTTCATGGGGGTTCTGCTGCAAAGGTCAGCCAAAAATGGTCTTTGTGTAATACGAAGACAAAATCTATCATTATCGTTATCCTTCCTACAATAAAATAGCTTGCTGCCAGTGCACTGTAGAATTACTTTTGCTTCCAATTTTAGGCATGTATTCACTGAGACCCACAGTAGCACTGACGGTTTTCAATATTTACAAATTAATGTTTCCCATCCGCCTCATGCCATTTTATAATACGACAAGAATAACTTGCAGTTATATAGTGCCCTTCATGCAAGTAGCGTCAATCTCAGGAAATTAACCCACAAACACTTTATAAATTCGTTGAGAATGTGTTCATAGAGAGAGAGAGAAATGGGAGAAAGGAAAGAGAAAGCAATTTTACAGAGAAGTTGTTCCAGCCTAGCTTGTAGTTCTGATGTGGTATCTGCTTGTACAAATTGTAATAAACAAATCCTGTAGCATATTGGTTTGGAGCACTCGCCTCAAAAGCAAGAGGACCTGGGTCCGATTCCTGGGCAGAGCTAAACCTTAGGCAAGTTTCCTTATTCCACACGCCTTTGTTTACCTAGTAGTAAGTAAGAACCCGGTTGTTAAGTCAATTGGCGGATCGCTTTCCTGGGGGTAATAATCAGTTCACAAAAATTTTTTTACAATCTGGTCTCTCCATCCACGACTATTTCTTTGTCACTACTGTGTGCAATTGGCTGCAACGTTTTGTCCACAAAATATAGTCAATTCACTTTACTGTATATTCTGTGAAGCGTTTGAGACATCTCAAAGATGTGATAAGGCGCTATATCAAATGCAAGGATTATTATTGTTACTAGTCAAATTTAACTGATCACTACAATGGAGATTTATGTCACAGTTTAAACTAAATCTATTAAAGAATTACTATAGCACAAGTTTACCAGTTTGCTGAATGAAAAAGAACTCAAAACAACATTCAAGTCCATTTGTCTTACTCAATCGGTAACACTTTCAATTGCTTTTACAAAACTAACATGTTTTTTATTTTCCAGCGGGACCATTATTTCTGACCAAATGGCATACAGTGAAAAGCAGGAATTATCATGCCAGACACACTTTGGTATCACGTGAAGTACTCACTACTGAGTAGTGATCAGCTCATTTTAAAAGACAAAGCTTTTCTTAAATTTTGATTATGTTTTGAAGTAGATTTTTTGCAATTACTTTGATTTGCTTACTGTGAGTTTTCTCATTGTACAACAGCAGCAGAGCTGAGAAACAATGCAAAGTTGTGAGAGCGTGGAATGCACTGTGCTGGAAGGCCTTAAACAGTGAATTAATTAAGAGGTTTCAAGAGGGAGATAGGTAGATACTTGTCAAGTAAGGATTAGAAGGACATGGATAAAAAGTCAGGGAAATGCCATTAAAGGACAAAGGGGCTGCTATGGACTAATAAAATGGCACAGCAGGCCCGATGGGCTGAATGGCCTACATTTGCTCCTTTGTAACATTTTAGAGAGATAACAATGATTTTACCACTCAAAATGTTTCTTCGTCCCAATTAAAAATCTCAGGCGGCCCATAGGATATTGCTTAAATCAGCTCCTCCAGCACTGGACGAAAACCCCAAAATACTTAGGGAATTTAAAAGTCGGACAGCAGTCAGCTTTCTGCAGATTGAAGATACGTACTTTGCAAGTGAGAGACCTGAGTTCAATTCCAGGCAGGGCGAAACCTTGGGCAAGTTTCCTTACTCCACACAGAGCCTAATAATAATCCCTCCAAAACCAAAAACAATAATAAATTGGTCATTTTCAATCTACGACTGTTTGTGGGACATTGCTGTGCGCAATTGGCTGCCGCGTTCGCCCACAAATATACAGTCAATTCACTTTACAGTGTGTTCTGTGAAGCGCTTTGGGACATCCTCCCGACGTGAAAAGCGCTATATCAAATGCAAGGATTATTATTATTATACAAATAAAAGAAACGTATGATCTCTTTCCAGTGTTGTGTTCCTTTCACTTGCACAAACTGAAGGCGCCATTTGCTGATGCTTACTTACTATGGACATAAGCGTTAAAATGTAGTGTTGCAAATGCCGTCCATGATGCTGCACCATCTTGCTGTCAGCGGTGACCATCACCTCCACAATTCTTGGATACGACAAAAAGCGCTTTTGTCTTGTGTGCAGCTGTGCTCCACTTCCTAATGCGGAATCTTTAGTTGGAGGTTGCTCGGAGCTAATCGCACCATTTAAGGTATCTAGATGCTCATTAGTACTGCTAGCATTGTGCATCTTGAGAAGTCTTTTCTTCATATGAGGTGTTTGTTCTGCAGCAGAAACAAATATCAAATTAGAGGTTTTACCTTAAAATTGAAATATCAATGCTAAATAAAAGTGGTTGTTAGAACACTGGGATTTCAAAGAACCTTTTTTTTAATGCAATTACTTGACAAACCCTTCTCAAGAAAAGATATTTCTTTTTTCATTCAGGTTTTTGTATCCCCCAAGTAAAATTGATCATTCATTTCACAGCCATTTGCCGGTCATTGCTGTGCACAATTGTCGTATTCACCTACAAATACACAGTCACTCCGCTTCACCCACAGTAAATCCTGTTGGTGCTCTGAGCTATTCTCCCAAAGTTAAAGGTGGTGCTAACACCAAATTATTATTTGACATATGTAAGAAGGAATGCACTGGAATTTTTCGTCTTTTGATGAATTGTGGCCAGGTTATCATGGCTACATCTCTGTTTAATTGCCTTAATTACATATTATTATTGTGCAGTTCTGTAGCTCAGTGGTTAGAGCACTTGTTCCCAAGCAAAAGACCTGGGTTCTATTCCCGGCAGGGCGAAATGTTGGGCAAATTTCCTTACACGCCTCTGTTTACCTAACAGTTAGTAGGAACCCGGTTGTTAGTCGGTTGGTGGATAGCTTTTCCAGGGATAACAATCCCTCAAAAAAATACAATAATAATTTGGTCACTCAATCCAAGACTGTTTGTGGGACACTGCTGTCCGCAATTAGTTGCTGCGTTTCGCCCACAAATATACTGTCAAATCACTATACAGTATATTCTGCAAAGTGCTTTGAGACATCTAGAAGACGTGAAAAGCGCTATATCAACTGCAAGGATTATTATTATTGTACTCCATATTTATGCACATGATTATATAACTCATCAACAGATGCAGGGCTTCCTTAAATTTTCCAGTGGGGTGTCATGACAAGTTAAATGGGGCTTAAAATCCATAACCTTCTGTGTTGAGGTGTAAGAAATGTCAGTTGAAACAACTGACACCCACTATACTAAGGGCAAGGATCGGAGTCTTTTGGCAGAATTTTCCAGACAATTTAACATTCAGAATACAAAAGACAAATGCGCCATGCGATGTAACACCAATAAATTTAGCTGGCAAACTAGGGTGGGGGGGCGAAAATTGGAAGAAACAAGTCACAAAGATTGCAGTCCTCCAAGGAAATCCAGAACTAATTTTGCATGAAAATATGGCAAAAAAGTATGTTGTTGCACAAGATAAAGGAGCGCCACAGACTGGATGAGTCATGTGATTTATAGAATACAATGAGGAATAAGTCAAATGAGTAAAATTAACAACTTTCACCATTTTTCTAAAACTAACTTGCAATTCTTCAATCATAATAGTCTCTTTAGGCTATCTCTTAATTCATTGCTCTCTCTATTCCTGATGACTTTCGTTATTGTGAATTTTCTTTGGCACCTGTCCCCAAAATTATTATTCATGAAGACATTGGAGGAGTAGTCAAGGGGTTTCTTCTTTGCCAAAAATATATCAACTGTTTTTATCAAGCCACATTCTTTTGGCTAAAATACTGTGATGGAAATGAACAGGCATTGTTGTAAGCTCATAAACTAATCATACGCAACTCCTTTGCTTAATGGCAGCATTGAAAATTAAACTCAAAGCTTTTTGTTAAAAAAAACTTGCAAAGCACATGGTCAATATAAAAAATAAAAATGAAAGAACAAATAGAGAACAATTTGCCTTTCTTCCCATCCACTATTTCTAGTCTCAAGTACCATGCAGCTTTGCCAGCCAAAAAGGATGTGGGTGAGTGGTTCCTTGGTTCATATAAAGTGAAAAGTTATGAAAGAAAATAAATGCTTTTTTTAAACAAATTCATTTTCTGTAATAAACACAATTTTACAACAAACACAATTACTGTTTGGTGTGACTGCTATGTAATTACCTGCAGTCATATTTAAATAATCCAAAGAGATGTTGCTTTAAGATAATGAGCAGTCATAATAAACTCATTCATACAACATCTCATGGTGCTGAATGTCATTTATACAACTGAACAAGAGTAAACCAATGATTTAATTTCTGTTTATTCACCTGCCACTACCTAACAAACTCCCTTTTATTGATGTACATAAACCGGTTGATCCGTCATAAATTCAAGGTCAGAGCTTGGATTTTGGGAGGAGGGCATGACTTCAAGTAAAGTCAATATATTTAAACCTTCTCAAACAACTTTGCTACTAACTTAATTGTGTATGGCAAATGTTCTTTGTCAGCTATGAAATTGATTGGAGTACAAAAGCCTAACCGAGGCTGTGACACAATGGAAACTCATCAACTGTTGAGAAGAGAGGCTTTGAGATTAGGCATCTTGTCAAAATGCAAAGTCAAAATGTAAAAAGAACTGTTTGCCAATTTATCTGAAATTCAAGCCCTGGACAAGGTGAAGTGGGACAGACAATTAGTTTACGAGGGTTTAGAAAACAGCATATTTCTGTGTAACTCATCTATGACTACACAATGAGTTAAGAATTAATGAAATAGAATGAAGATATCACCATCAAAATAATAAGTAGAACAGCACTTCAATTTTGGCCTCTATGACTCTCATGAAACACTTATTTTAATTCTGACCTTATTGGTTCATAACTTTTTTCTTCACTTTGTTGTAACTTGTTTTACAATTTGATTATAGAATAACCCAGGAAACCAAAAACCCATTTAATTCATTTAAGAATGAAGGCGTTCTTCATTGTCTTGTTTTTCTCATTGACACAACATTACTGGGAGAACTGAAGCTCTGTTTTTGTACCGCCCAAGCTACTACAGCCACACTGCCTCTATTCTCGGATAAGTTAACTGATAATCCAGGATGGGGTCCAGAAACCAATCTCCTTAATTAAAGAAGAAATACAATTGAAGAAATGGGACTTGCTTGAAGTTAACTAAGATACTGGGATCTTACGGGCAGCAATTTTAATGAAAGTACATCATTTTGGTGTGAGCTTGGCTCAGGTATCAGCCTCCCTCAAATGGTCTTGTCTCTGAGAAGGTTATGGGCTCAGTCAAGTCTTTGAACTCAGTCTGGCACTCCAATGTAGTTCTGGAGGAGCACTATATTGTTGGAGAGTTGAGATGTTAAACTGATGTCCCATCTGCTTGTGCGGATGGACGTTAAAGATCCCACGGTAATATTTGTGAAGAGAAGGGAGTTGATCCTGGTGTCCTGGTCAACAATTGCCAGAAAATTTTGGTCAATAATTTCATATCTGTTTGTGGGGCTTTGGTATGCACAAATTGGAGCCATTTTTATTTACAAAATACATAGCCAATGCACTTTAGAGCAAATCCTGCAAAGCACCTTGAGACAACCTCCTGATGTGACAAGGCACTATATCAAATGCAAGAAAAGGCCTTTTATTTTTATTCTCTTGCTGACTTGCACGAGTTCCACTCTAAAACAAGCTCCAGTCCCGTGTGGGTTGGTATGACATACTTCGGGTGACAGTAATATATGAATTGTCTGAATTCACAGATTCAAAGTAGTTCAATTTGCAGACACCACATCAGGGGGAGAACTATAGAATCAGAAGAGGCAGTCAAGATCTCACAAGTTATATATATATTTATATATGGTCTTGCACATCAGGAGGATGTCCCAAAGCACATTCACAGTGCTGGATGCTGAGCTGGGGGTGGGAGCCGAGTGGGGAGATTAAAGATGACCGAAGTGATGTCAAGGTCCTACCTCACATCCGGTCCCTGACCTGGAACCCCTTCCTCCACCTCTGCCACATTGCCCGCCTCCAACCATACCTTAACCCAAGCGCAGCTAAAACATTTGTCCATGTGATCATCACCTCCTATCTTGACTGTGCATTTGTCACCTCCTGCCCTCCTCACTGGTCTCCCAGCTCCACTATCCACAAAATCCAGCTAATACAAAACTCCACTGCCCGCATATTCACCTGCACTAAACTCCGTAACCCCATCACACCAATTGTAGCCAAACTCCACTGACTCCCTATCGCCGAACAGATCGATTTCAAGATCTTCAAACTCGTTTTCAAATCCCTTCATGCCCTGGCACCTCCCTACCTCTCCGACTTGCTTACTCACCAACGCTTACAGCCACTAAGCCCCAAAACTCTGGAACACTCTTCCTCTATCCCACAGCCTTGACCCTCTTTCCCCATCTTCAAGGCGAGTCTGAAGAGCTTTCTCTTCGACCACGCCTATGGTTCCCTTCCCCTCCTCCCGGCTCGGCTTCGTGCTCTGCCACTGTCAAGTGCTCTGGGACACTACCCTGCATGAGGAATGCTATATAAATGCAAGTTGCTGTTATTCTTTCTGTTCCACTTCTGTTAGTCTAAAATCACTTTCAATCTGTACAGGATTTGAGGTATTATAAACACCAGTGCCTCCTTTTTGTAAAAATTTCAATGATTAGGTTCACTCAGGTTGTTTCTTTCAGTAATAACTCCTGCATTGACTGACTGATGCTATATTTCATGGAGGGAGCCTGTTTATCCAGCTCATTTACCCTGAAATAACTACATATTGTTATGGATTATGGTAAGACACTGTCATACAACTCTCTCACAGGTCTTTCTTAACTCTCTTGCTCTCATTTCTCTGATGAATTTTTTTAAGTTGCAGTCTGCTCTGTGACACAGCAGCAATACCAGGTTCCTAGCTGTTATTCCCCCACCCACTGATTCACTAATGTCGGTCATACCACTGTGAGGAATTGCTAAGTGGAGGCCAGGCAGGGAGTAGGAGAGCCAGTTGCAACAGTCCCGGCTGTTGTATACATTTGAGAAGCTGCAAAGCTGCAAGTGCAGAGGCCTGACAAGCAGTCTACTGTTCATCCTCTGAGAAATGTTATGCAAACAAATCTAATGAGTGGTGAGAGGATAGACAATTATAGCCATAAAATGGGAATACTGAAACTTGTTGCAAGTGAATTAGACTTGTGGAAGGTGATGTCACACTTCTGCTTATGGAGTGCCCTCAGTTTATGAAATTGCAAGTCAGAGT